TTTTTTTTTCTCCCATGTCCCCTGCGGGGCTCCGTAATTCAAAAAGAAAGCTTGATTGACCTCTCTCCCTTTTCTGCCTTTCTTGCAGCTGTACGGCAAAAGAGCTGCATGGGAAGATCCATCCAAGTGGGTGAATGACACATATCCATGGAACGCCGCCTCACTGCAGCAGGACGGGCAGTCGCTGCTCCAGCTGAGGCCGGAGGACGTGGGATATGATGGATACAGCTCGTCCAAGGAGGGCGCCTCATCCAAGCAAGTGTCTCAGAGTGACACTGAGGGAGACCCACTGGTGAGGAACAAAAGACAAAGGATGTTCTCAGAGTTTAAGTGACTAAGTCTCCAAAAGTTGATTCTGTTCATCTGGACGTAGCGTTTTCTGGGAGAAACGTTTCTTCACTCATCCAAGTGACGTCTTCAGTCTCAGCTGACTGCAGGTTTCAATCTTATAAACAGGACATTTGCATAATGACTGAAACCAGCCCACTGAAGGAACAATGGGCTGTGAGGTTTCTCCCAGAAAACGCTACGTCCAGATGAACAGAATCAACTTTTGGAGAATTATTTTCCTGGATGATTGAGAATGCATCAAGACGTTAAGTGACTAAGAATTAAAAGAGCAAACATGAATGCCGAGAAAGCTGATGGAGCAAGTTCTCTGTAGAACATGAATGTTCACGTCAATGCTGCAGGCCACTGCTCAGGCAGTGTTTGGGTGTTGTTGACGTGGCCTTATAAAGAGGTGCAGACTCATGGGACTGATAAATTATTACCAGCGGCTGTTGATAGCCTGCAGGTTGCATTTTGTCAATACTTGATTTCTAACAAATGAACGAACACGTCGTTTACACCAGAACAAAATGAAAATGAAAAAAGCTAAGTGGGCTGATAGTATCGATGCTGACGCTGGTGTTGGTATCAGATCAATACCATCATCGCAGTATCGATACTTTATTTCTGTCCTGTAAGTACAGAAAAATATAAATTTGGGAAATGAAAAAATCCACCTCAGACATGCACTATGGAAAATGTCTGAGCTTTTTTATTCCATTTTATTTATAGCCCATATGTATATTATGACAATATGTTTGCATATGTTTACTGATGATGTAACTTATTTATAAATCATGACAAACTGCTGTCTCTAAGCTTTATGAGTTAAAAGTATCAGTGTCAGTAGTAGCCATACTGGCCCTGGATCTACTTGGTATCAGACTGATACTATTTGCAGCACCACACAGCACTATTAGAAAAGAAGGAAAGGTTGAGAAGAGAATGCTCCTCAGTACCACAGTGACCCACACACACCAGATGCTTAACGTGACGGAGGGTCGGAAGACGAGGCAGGAAATGGTGGAAAGAGAGAATTCATTATCATTATTGCAGCCCAAAAGGATATAAAGACTAGTCACCCAAAAACAACTGGCTTGATTTAACAATTGTGTGTGTGTGTGTGTGTGTCCACGTGTGAGCATTTGGAGCGCAGGTGTGCCACAGCTCATTTCAGGAACACTTGAAGTGACGCGCCAGATGCAGCAACACTCCTGCATTATTTAGACCATTAGCTCCATTGCAGGGATGAAAAGTGCTGCTGTTTTATTGCGGGCTATTTAGCACAAGGTTTTCTGTCTTTTTTTAAGAACATGGAGAATATAAACAGAGAAGGTTTGTGGGTCACTGCATTGTGTTGGAAGTTAGCAGTTGTTCATTCCTTATATTGTGAAAATGGAAAATACAGTCAAAGAAAGAGTAGATCACATTAGTAATGATTCCAGTGAATACCCAACCTTTGAAAATATTATGATGTATTAGGTGAAAGGTCAGATGCCAGTCTGCTTCCAGTATCTTTTGCACAAGAGTCACACTGCACACATCTTTGGGTTTTAATCTCAGATACGAACCTGTAATGTTTCATAACTTCATCTTGCACATTTGCAATGCTGTGGTGTCTACAAACAGGCCTGCAAAAGTACTATGTGCCACCTTTGTGGTAGTTACCGTTACAGTATCTCTTGAGCACATTTTGCCATGGTTACACAGACTGATTGACTCACAAGGTATAAAATAAAAACAGGAGCCACAAGCTTAGAGTTGTGTAAAATTCTTGATTGATTTTGTGAAATCTGCTTCTGAATATTAGCACCAGTAAATCCTAACTGTAGTAATCATTTGGAGAGTCCTCAGATTTATCTTGTAAACTCTTGGCAAATGTGCTGATCACCAGGCTAGGAATCATCACACTCATCAGAGCACAATCAAACCTGTACGCCAACAGTAGAGCCCCGCTAAAGTTATGAAATGCTGAGGTTTTCCTGCTTGGAGTGTCTCTAGTTTTCCGTTCCATTCTAACTCTGCGTTATGTTGCAGATGAACATGCTGCTACGGCTGCAGGAGGCAGCAAACTACTCCAGCACGCAGAGCTGCGACAGTGACAGCACCAGTCACCATGACGACCAGCTAGACTCTTCACTGGAGTCAGCACTATGAGAGCAAGAGATACTGATCCCCTAACCCGCACCCCTTGGACCTCCCAGAACCTGGGAACTATCAAACCCCCATCACCACCGGACACCCCTATAGTTAGCAAATGATATATGAAAAGTTTTATTATCCAAAATGATTTACCCAACATTTGAGAGAGAAAAAAGCCTATTTTTACACAGCGATGGTGCAATATTAAATCAGATTATTTTATGTCTTAAAGATGTGTCTTCAACTTGGTCCCCGGTGATCAAAAAGGTAAACGACAATATGCGTAAGATCGAATCTATTTTACTGACATCGGATAGTGTTCGCCAGTCATTTTTAATGGATGTGTAACATTTGAAGAATACAACTTTTCATATATATTATAGGTTTTAGTGTGACTGATAAGGAACGTCACACTTTGTTCACACTTTTCATTTTGGGTGTGAGAAAATGAAAGAAGTTCAGCGTGATCAAACTGGATTTTTTGTTATCTAGTTATATTTTCAGGTGTTTACATTTAGGGTCGGGTTTTGTTGTGTATGTCTTTCCTTGTTTACAGAGGTGCTTCTCACAGACACACACTCAAATGAATGCACTTGCACACAGGCAGCAGGAGGAGACTCTCTGTTAATGAAAGCTTTTAAAAGTTCAGGCCATCATTTAATCTACAGTCCAGCCTGCCACAGTGTCCTTGAGCAAAGTACCATATCTCCACCACTTCTGACTACCCTGATCTCTTACACTATCTTTCAGGTGATGTATTGCTCTCTAGTGGCCACAGGCTGTTTTACATCCAGAGTGTTTACACACAAATCATCAGGTTTCAGTAAAAGTTATTTATGGTCAACCAAACCTGTTCCTTACTGGGTTTGGAGTAGATTTTGTTCACCGCTGTACCATTTTTAAAAAATATCTTTGCTTTTTGTGAACATGATGAGGGTGTAGCTAATATTGGAGCATACTAACACACTCTGCTGCCCTCAGCTCAGTCACTAGTTGAGCCTCATGGTGCTGGTCTCCTGCCCTGAACGTTGTCGGCGTCAGGCACTGCCAAGCCGCTCCTCGCCCCCACCCTCCATGCCGACAACAAGCACAACGAAAGCGCATTGTCTGTGTGTCTGTGTGTGTGATCCAGTCTCACTACTACTGTGAAGAAAAAAAATTGAAAAGTGCCAACGTTTCGTTTCGATTTGACTGCCAAATGTAAACACAATGCAGAGCCGAACATGGTTGTAGACTTAGATTACTGTTCTTGGCCTGCTGTCAATGTTTAGCTGAAATGTACCGTGATGAGAGCAGACAGCGCCCTCTGTGGATTGTTACAGGAGTAACCAGGTATTTTTGGCAGTCTGCACAGGGTTTGGTGCAACGTAGGCTGACCCTGAGTTCAGTAATACCTAACAGAGTAGCGTGGTATTCTGCGGCCCTCATTAGAAATTCTTTTTTGACATGTGCTTCGGTTTCTACCCAAAAGGAATCCAAATTGTCGCATCCGTATACAAGTTAACCAGATCAGTCAAAGAGCTGAATAGGGGAACAATGATATTGGTGCTTTCTCCACTGCCTTAAATGTTCAAAAGTTTTTTTCAAGCATCTTCTGGTGAGAAGACGAGATGGTATTGATATGCTTCCTGCTATGTCAAAGATGCTGCTTGCAGTGGGACAAACAGCCACTTTTGTTTGTTTTCCCTCCCTTTCCCTCTAAAGCACCCTTTCTCCTTTCTGACAGTTAGATTATAAAAGAGTGAATAGTGTATTTGAATTTGACCGATATTGTATGAACATTTAAAAAAGTATATAAAATAGAGGGGTTGGGATATTTTTTTAAGTTGTTGTTTTGTGCCCAGTTGAGCTGGGCTCACTTGAACTGATAGGAGCACAACCAAACTGTTTCAGGTGTTCTTGCCTGATGAGCATGTCTTGAACCTTTTTAAAGGGGATGCATTATGAGGAGACCTTTACCTTTATGTATGCGTGTATTGGACGGAAGCCATTTAGATTTTTGATTGTCCTCTCTTTGTTTATCGAGTGGGTTGGTTTTGCACACTTTGAGGTTGGGTTGGGTTGTAAATACTTAAGTCTTGCACAGTGAATCAAAGATGCATTCTGCCCTGTCGATGTTCCAATATGCTTAATCCGCCGAATAAATTATTGTACTTTGAAAACAGAGAGAAAAAAAAAAGAAATGCAAAATTCAACACGCTGTCAGAAACAGGTGTGTGTCTTGTGGTGATTGGATGTTGTGCCTATGCAGGAGGCATACAGTGTACAGTAAGAAACAGCTTTTTTTTTAACTCACTGAAATCACAAAAGGAGAAGAAAAAAAATAGGCACTTACTCCAGTATTCCTCATCCTGCCATAATATTTTCTGGATCTTAGGAATCCCAGTTGTTCATTAGAAACACTTCCCCTCTGGACGTTTTAACTGAAGCTTACCGCTACGTTAGGCTTGCTAGTTGGCCGAGGCACCGAAGCTGATCTGACACCGTACTGTAAACATTTACCAACAACCAACAGGTGCTACTGGTCAGAGCTCACCAGAGACCAAGAAGTCATGTTGTCACAACCTCAGGACAATTCTATCCTCTACAATCCTACCTGTGTTCAGCTTCACGCGTGTCTCCGCAGCCAAGTTGTTGATGGTCCGCACATTCTTTTGGCAAAGGGGTGTAGTTGCATGCTAAAGGGGTGGTTGCTCCTTACCTAGACTTACACCCGCATATCAAACCTATCTACACTCCTATTAACAGTGTACACCATGGTGACATTTTCCCCACTTAACACTTTGCAGTTACATCTCAGTTGAAAACCATAGCATTTACTCTGGTTTGAGAGAACGTTTTCTTCTTTTTGGGTGAAACATTTGTCCTTAAATGTTTTATATTTTGTACATTTGTATGTAACATATCATGTAAATAGACAGAGACAGTGATTTACCTCATCTGGAGGATTTTGTAGTCTTTGTAAAGCCCTAATAAATGGTATTTGGTGTCACACAGGCAAAAACGGCCTTTTGTGTTCATTTTATTTTATTCATGTCTCTTAGAATGATAAGAATTAAAAGAAAAATATAAATTAAAAAAAACATGTTCGAGTGAAAGTAACTGCCAAACGAATAACTTGGGCATAAACAGTAAGTATCCATATGATTTAAAGATATAAGACTATACATGAAAAAGGAATATGAAACACATTTTACTTAGAATCAGATCAGTATATACTAATTGCAACAAAGATGGTGCTAGGTGTTGGCATTAACTCTAAAGAGTTTTGCATGCAGGACGTTCTGCTGATGATATCAATTGTGTGTATGTCATATGCTTTGGATGCAGTCTGGAGTTTGGTTTGTAGGAAGAGTTTTTACAGTCCAACACAAAAGATGCACCTAACAAGATATAGCACTTTTCTACTGTCCCAGAGTACTGAAGGCGCTCTATACAACATGCCACATTCACCCATTTACACAACCACTTTCACTGTACTTAGTGCTACTACATTCACACTCCGATGGATGAATTGGAGAGCAACTTGGGGTTAGTATCTTGCCCAAGGATACTTGACATGCAGACTGGAGGAGCCAAGGATTGAACCACCAACCTTCCAATCAGTAGGTGACCTGCTCCACCTCCTGAGCTACAGCCACCCTGAAACTGAGGATTTTTCAGTTTCTGGTGTGTCAAAGAAGGCCAGAGAAGTAACATGCTTATAATTAGGTGCTATCCATTGAAAATATAATTGAATGTCACAAATATTAGCTGTAAGAGTGCAGTAAAACTAGGTGAAAATATCATGTCACAGACTATATATTATACAATTCATGTCACCCGACCAGTCACATGAGGTGGCTTAATCCTAAAATGTTTGTGATTTTTTTTTTTTTTTAGCATCTAGCGCTTGCTATATGAAATACATTGTTCAAAGGGGGAAAAACAGATCTATACATGCAGGAGTAGACGAAATGAGGTGCTAATACGTACGTACGGGCGTATTCAGTAACCAATAAACGGTCGTTGTTGCAAAGGTGTGCTTTTATTTTGAAGGATTATTGTGTTCTCTTCCAGGAGCGCGAGACTGAAGCCATAGCAAACATGGCACCCGGCACGACTCCTGTAACGGAGTCAGAGGAAGATCTTAAAACCTTTAAATCTAAAGGAGCTCCGATATCTTTACCGAAACATTCCTACTGGTTTGACTTCTGGGCTTTCGTGGTCTTTGATTTCGTGTTATTCCTCGTCGTGTATTTCTTAGTCCCATAAAAGGTAAGAATGAGTGAGCGTGGAAGTTTCCAGTTAAAAGTGGGTGGCTACGCATGTTATCTAACTTTTTTTTGTCCCACAGCTGCCGAGCCTGATATAAAAACTGGGATTTAAATAGCGCTAATTTGAAATAAACAGTTTTAAAGTTAGTATTGATGCAGCTGTATCATAAATATCATTCTGAGAGCTCATATTCAGTGGTTAGCCAGCTGGTATCTAGATTCAACATCACTGCCTTGGATCTAGTATTAGCTATGCAACGTTTGCCTGAAAGGTCTTCGATTTACAATGTAATTTGTACTATATTTAAGAATTTACACTCTACACTTCCTGTGTAGGGTGGGCCGTTATCGCTCTAGAAAAGTCATGTGCCTATCTTCGCTAATTTTGATGCAATAATTTAACGTCATGCTTTTATGTGCTTTTCGAAGTGTATGATACGAGATATCCGGTGTAGAAGCGCAGTGACTTTTCCCCGTTACTAATTTTCTTCTGTTATCGGCTGCTCGTTTTGTCCAATCAGCCCTCCATATCCAAAATCTATTTCTATTACTGCTACACTGAGACACGAACAGGTAATTCTCCAGTTTGAGATGCTGGGAATGTTATTGATTAGAATGTATAGATGTATAGATGTAGTAGTTGTGATTATGCATTTGTGTTCCCTGTGTTAGAACTTTGTTTTCAAAGTACTTCTCTTTGTTAAAGGTTGGTTCCAGGACTTTGGAGCTTGAAGATGCAGAGTGCTCGCCCTGCCCTTGGAAATGCTAACCCTGCTTTGAATCTAACACCATGTGATTGGATGTCATACATCATTTGGCTGCATAACAAACATCTGAACTACAGAACTGCTGTGACTGGACTATCCTCCTTAATGCATGGAATCGGTTTTTCTGTGGGGGCGAGAAACATTTGAAGTGCTGTATTGTTGAAAAGTTACAATGATGTCATCAGGACTTATAAAATGCTTTGACCAGAAAATTACTAAGACACTTTAAGTGTTGTCACTGTCAGTTGTTAAGTAGTTTTATTAACCCGTGTTTTATTAATAATGTTTAATTTTCTGGCTTCTTCCTAGTGTTTTGGTTTTGTTTCCATGTTTTCCTGATCATCACCTGTAAATAAATCTGACATCTCCAAATGAATGTATTGTCATATCAAGCTATGCGATCAATTGGTGTGGGACCCATATGGACACCAGAAGATTAGCGTCCACCTTCACTCGTGAAAGAACAATGCTGTGTTGGGAGAAATACTAGAATGCCGAAGTCATGGAAATTTGCACATGGAAAACACTGCAAATAAAGTTTTTTGTCTACTTGGTAAATTGCAACATTCTCTGTTATCTGTTGGATGAACTTCTCATTTATCAGCATCACATCTGTTATTTGGATCTGAGTACAGTGTTAGGTTCTTATACCAAGTTTACAACTGGCAGTGACTGCACTTTTGAGACACATAAAGCGCAACTGTTTAGCTAATGACTTAAATGTTTTGAATTAAACGGGGCTTTTTTTTACACTTTTGGGCGCTTGTTAATGCTTTTATTTTGGAAATCACACATTTGCCCACGTGATTCCGCTTTGCGTTAGTGCTAATAGCATATTAATTGCTGGTTGCAGCTTGCTAGTGACTTTTTTTTAAGGAATTCGTGTAGTTTGCGTTATGGAAAGCGGTCCAGTGGAGAGCACAGGTCCGTGTCACAGCAGCGTTCATTGGTACCGCGAGCCAGGCCGCCCGTGTGTGCGCGTTAGCTCCTCACCGCGGCTAAATGCAGTGATTCTAGTTAGCTATGCTAATGTAAACATGGAAAACTTAATGGGTTAACCGTTAATACTTAGGTTCATACAATATGTTCACTGTATTCGTGTTGTTTTTTAAGTAAATGGAATTGTAACACCCCTATTTGTTCTTAGTGTTATAATTTTAAGTTAGTTAATCTGTTTTTAGCTCATTTAACTGGGCTATATTCAAATACTGTTCAACATGACTAAATTTCTATTTCTGATATATTGTGTGAGTAATTAAATATACTTTCAATAAACGGCAACATTAAGCTATCTTGGAAATGTTTGTAAATATTTTGAAATAACTGGGAATTTTTAATCGATTGCTTGTAATATGTGGCCATAAATTCACCTGAGTCTCAATTATAGAAACAGTACTTTTGTACTCTCAAAAGGTTATTGGGCTGTTTTGCCAA